AAAAGTCTTCCCTCTGTTTCTTTAAAAATACATAATTGCTGCCTCTCCTGAGATATTTTTACAGAGTGTCCCTAGAGGAGGAATTCCAGCTGATGGCCCAATGCAGGGCAGAGGCCCATAGACAGACAGTCTGGCTCCAATTTATGCTCTGCGCTAACATGGCTAATAGGCGTTAGCATTTTGATTTAGAGAAGTTCCGTACTTGATCCTTGCTTGGTTCTACACTGGTGACGTCTGGCTCAGAATCACACATTTAAAAGACCAACAGCTATTCAAATTTTTCACCTTCCTCTTCCTTTCCTCTCTCTCTTTCCCTCTCTTTCTCTTTTTCTCTCTCTCCGAATTCAATTAAATGTCTTGGGAACAGTTTCAATATTTTGATAAAGCAGTACACAGGATAAATTGGCAGGAGTTCAGTTTGCCCCGCGTTAAACTCTGGTGTAGACACTTTGAACCTTTGGAACTATTACGTATGTTTAATATGCATCAGAGCTTCYGCAAACCCCTGCTAGTGCCATTTTATTCTACTTTTTTCCTCTGTCCAAGTTTTCGCTATCACTTCATTTGAGATCCTAAACTCAACACTCACTCCACTTAAACAGGAAAAAAAAAAAAAAAAAGCAGCAACTCTTGATTCATAAGGTGCCCATAATTCTATAAACATCTAATGAAAATGAGCAAACATCTCTGTTTAAAACTTGGGTTACATCCAGAAGTATGTTTCACTCTCAGATGCCTGATAAAACAGCAAGACTGCAGGCGCTGGCAAGTCCTCCGCAGAACTTTGGCAAGACAGAGGGTGCCCAACATTACAGGACATAAGGCTACACCCACCAGATGCAGTTGTCCTCCTTAAATTCGTAGGTCTGTGAGTCCTTCAGAAAAAAAAAAAAAAAAAAAAAGCGGCACTGTAATCTGCTGACTTAGAATTAACTGTCCCAGTGACTTAGAAAGCTAGGGGGGAAAAAAAAAAGAGTAAAATGAGATATTTGAAAGTAAACCCTCACCAGGCGTTCTCTAGAAATAAGATCCCCACCAGCTCTGACTGGTAGGGTTTTCCTGGCGTGGCATGAGTGTCCTTGGCTCATTTGTATCAAGCCTTTGGTGTGGCTGAAGAAGTACTTCCCTTTAACGTGCTTGCTGTCTGTAAGCTTCAGTAAAATAGTTAGTTCACTCTCTGACAGACCTCAGACTTAAACTTACCTAGTTAACACATGGTATTTTGCCAAAATGCTTAGTAAGTGCTGGCTGCAATAGRGTGTGTGATGTGGAATCACCACAGCCTGAAAAACAAACGAACAGCCCTCCCAGAGCCATGGGATTGCATTCCAATGGAGTGTTCAAATACAGTTTTCATTGTGCCATATGCTGTCCTTGCTTGTTAGAGGATTCTTGCATTCTTTTAAAAAATTATATTCGTTTGCATGCTTATCAGATGCACAAAATGCATTCTTCATGGATTTTCCTATCATTGCTTGGGTAGCATAGAAAGTTGTATAGTTCAGAATCATGGAATCGATGGAAGTAGCAATCAAAGAGGAACTGCATAGTTTCTCCCATTCCCATAAATCCGATCTGTAAATGCTAAGAATTTGAGGAATGAATGTAAGAGATTCAGTCATTTTATTGAAAACTTCAGAAGGAAAGAATGGCAAATTGTAGGATATGAGTCTCACCAACCTGGCCTCCAGAAGGAAAACCTTTTAAAATAAGATATTTTTGAACTCCCATCTGAAATATATATCTCTAGGGCAGAAATCATCAGAAACAGCAGAGGAGTGTGGAGCTTGGTTTTGTTGTCTTGCATCAGTGAACATTCCTCAAAAGCAGAAAGCGTCACTAATGGAATTATATGTTTTCATGCTATAATTACATTAGATTTTTTCTTGATATTTCTGTAGAAATTTTGTTCATGGGTCCATGACTAGGCAGAATATTTACAAGTTTTCTATGGCCTCCGCCTGTCCAGTGCCCACCTCTTCCCCCAAAAAGAGAGACACCAACACCCTTTTTAACAAGGGGTAGGGGGGGACAAATTGTGTATTAAAAAAAATTAAGAGAGCTTCTTTCATTAAAAACAATTATAAAACCTGAACCACAAGAAGATAAAAAATTTTGTACTTGCAGGAAACACCCAGGTCCTTCTGAGTTCTGAAACTCCTTTTGCAAAAAGAGATTTAGTTAATGTTTTCATTTTTAGTTTTGAATGAATATATTTGATAGAACAGAATTTTGTTGATCTTCAGGTGTGTTGCCCTAAATGGCCCTGTCACAGAGGCAGAGCAGATAATCTTGGGGCAGTGGTGTCAAGCTGGCTGGAGGATACAGTACCAGGGTTCCATCAATCATATGAGCAATCCACATCTTTTTTTGAGAAACTAAAATCTTTTGCTATTAAAAAAAAAAAATCCACAAAAATCTCCACCAAGAAGATGTCAACATGTTAGAAAAGATGTTGAAATCAATACTGTTGCACCTTCCACGGACTCCCACATAGATTCTTAGCTTTCCTGAGCACACCTCAATAATCCCTGTGCTCTCAATTCCTATTTCTTAGCATGCAATTCCTATTATCTAGGTTTCAATGGCTATAAATTCAAAGATGACCCTTCAAATATGTTTACACTGAAGCAATATTGAAGGAAATACAGGGACAAAATTAATTCTATGCAGATATGGAATGAGGAACTGCTTTTGCTTGCAAATAGAGTTAGTTTGGAGTATAGATGAATATCCTTTGACCTGGCCTGGGTTGCATGTTTTTATCATAAATTAAAGTTATGATTACATTTCTCCTTGTTTAAATACATTTCTTGAAATGCTATTTATTAGAATGTTAAAAACACAATTTCAGTTCTTTTCTCTCAAATTCCCACAGTCTGGCTCCTGGCCCGGCCACTCAACCCAAATCACCCTCTGAGGTCTTCCAAAATAATTTCTCAGCCAAAATCAATAGTATCTTTCTAGGCTTGTCAGCTTTCTTCAAAACCAGATCCTTCTGCATGTGCACACCCCATCTGGTCTCAAATTCTAAGGATTCATGCCGTCCAGATTGTCTTCTTTCCATATCTCCAGAGTCATACCTATAGCTCTTCTCCTTCAGCAATGGTTCCAACTGTGGTCAATTTATCACAGTGTTTGTGCGTGAATTACTTTCCTATCCAATCTGTAAACTCTCCTTACTTCCCAAAGTCTTATATCCTTTGGTGCCAGGTGTTCAGCTGCAGTGAAACTTGGTAAAGGATAAATCCTGGTCCTAATTTTCAACCCCTTGTCTCTGTTTAAGACCTTGATTGCTGCAACCAAAATCTTGAGTCCTTTTGACTCCTCACTAATCTCTTTAATTTTCATAAGCTCCCCAAAGCATATGTTTTCTACCTGTATTACTTTTAGGGAATGAATGCTCTGTTAGTTGTCCTCCACTCTTCTCTCTTCAGCCCTAGTGAGATGCAAGTTAAACCAAACTGCACACATATTCAGATGGAGACTCATCCTGTTGATCAAAATGCAACTCCTGCTTAAGTCCTGGTTGTACCATCCTCTACCACTTCTTCCTCCCTTCCCATTTTAGCATAATCTCTGCACAAACCCTACAAACATCCCCTCAACCTCTTAGTCTCCTAGTTCTGTCTCCTAGTTCTGATTGCCACCATTTCAAAGGGAAGCCTTTTCCTCTCTGTTACAAGTTTGTCCCATTCCTTAACAAGTCACCCAAATACCTTTTTCCAAAAGACTTTCCATGGAGATTATGTAAATTGTGTCATGAACTGGCYGTGGCTTTCTTCCTCCTCCTCTCAAGAAGAGCTTTAGGTGAAAATGTGTCCTGAGTCAGCTCTACATGTATTTAACTTCACAGATGTATCTGTACATATGTGTCTCTTAAACCTTTGGAAAGATCCATCTTTTTGGATAATTGAAAATCTGCATATACATATATGTAATTTCCCAAAAAAGAACACAAAATAATCATACACATTTTACAGAGTGTATAWCAATATCTGTATACAACATGAAATGATCAAATCAGTAAGTACTTTATCCATTATCTCACAAACATTTATCATTTCTTTGTGTTGGAAACATTCAAAATCCTTCCTTCTGGCTCTATTGAAATCTACAATAAATATTAATTTAAAATTTTTTTTTAATTTGTTGTATATGATAGCAGAATGCATTACAATTCATATTGTATATGTAGAGCACAGTTTTTCATCTCTCTGCTTGATTGAACATGAAACTTTTTCCTTCTATTGATACTGCTCGTTATTGGTGGTGACCCCACATGATGAAGTTTGAACTTTAGAGAAGCACACCAAAGCAAGTATTACTAAGGCAGGGTTTGTTTAAAAAGGGGTAACATAGATTTCTCCCTTTCTCCCAGGAGGGAGAAGGGGGCCATAGCTGGTATCCTGGTATCCCTAGAAGCCAGGTGGTCTGCCCTTTTTATCTGTCCTAGGCTTCCTTTGTTCTCCTGCCCTCTTCCCCTTATCTTTCTCCTTCCTGCATAGAGTGACTAGACCCAGGAATGCTCAGTGGAGCTCCAAAAGGTGGGAAACAGGTGGRCTGAAGGGGGAAGGGCAGGATGTAGCTCCCTGTAGGGAGGGGCAATTCCTAGGACAAGTTACCTTAGCAACAGGTTGGAGCCAGGCAGGTTTAGGAAGGGCTCTAAAGGAATTAACATTTCAGTTCCTCAGSAGACAGTCTTCAACTTCTGGGGACTCACTCAAAATTGGCCTGACTCAATGTGACCTGACTCAATTTACCTATCCGTACTGACTGCCTGTCAAATTCTGGCTTCACTATCTGATTATATATTTTTATTCTAATACCACCTCTATTCTCCCCTCCATGCTAGGAAACTGTTTGAATCTTCAGTAAAAGTCCATAGTTCACATCCGCCCCCACACACACACTCACACACTAGTATGCACTTAAAATTGTTTTAATAATAATTGTGCTTTCTGAAATTTTACCTCATTATGTGTGCATTTTCTTCTCAGGACCCTCCCATGGCTGTGACCCTTGGACTCCGAATGGAGGAAATGATCTTTAATCTTGCTGATACACATTTGTTTTTTAATGATTTAGAGGTAAGAATTTTAAAAGGTAAGAATGGTTGTTTCCAAAGGTTTAATATATGCAGAAAAGCGAAAGATAAACACATAGCTTAAGAGAACTATAAAGTTCTTGTCAAGACAAAAAATTGTATGTACAAGCATGATCATAAAGCAAAATTGTGTTCATGAATGACACATATGTACTAGCTTATATTAAGAAAAAAGTTTCCACGAACAGGAGATGATCTGTTTTGCTGCCCTGTACCAGACACCCCACATGGTACTCCTAGTTCTTTTAATACTTCAGCCATAACCCTTTGACATCTTTAGACTCAGCATCCCTAGCCTTTCAGGTGACCAGCTAAGACACTATTTGCAATCATCACTAGACAATGTTCACAGACACTCTTAATGCTAATAAGAATTTTGAACCCTATCTTTGGACAACTGTATCATTCCTCATTTCCTCCTGTTCTAGATAAAAACAGTGCTGGACCTACCTACATATTACATCTGATGAGTTTGAATACATATTTTTTCTTTTCTCAAATCCATTTTTTCATTTCCCAACCTCAGCCTGCAACATGATGTCTAAATAACAAAGAAGAGAAAATAAACGCAACAAAATGAAAGGGCAAAGAGAACCAGCCTCTGAGTATCTAACTCTAATCTTGGCTAACAAACTGGGATATTAGGCATCCAGACAATAGAAACTGAAATAATTAAATAGTTTGGCAGTGGGCAAGAGTGCTTCTTTGGCAGTTACAATTATGCTAAAATAGTGATTTCTCTTTCTTTTTTTTAAATGACATGTTAAAATTTACTTTTTATCTCATGGTGTCACAATGAAAGTCTTTATCTATAATCACATTATGAAAGGAGAAGATTATTATTACTAAACCTCACCTAATTTTAGACATTTTTTATATTGGACTTTCCATTTATTAATTGACAAGATTTTGAAAAAAATACCTGTATTACACTACTTTTGTAGGGAAAAAAACTGTAGGATTCACAGCATAAAAGTCATGTCCAGGATTACCTGCTAGCTAAGTAGTTGAACCTGAGATTTTGAAGCAGATTTGGCAACAGAGAATGTATTTCTGCCCCCCTACTGTGCTGAAATTTTAAAAAGTTTGTGAGAAAGAAAAGCCAAGTTTCAGTAAATGACTTAAATAAGTTTTTAACATTGACAAGGTCTTAAATCCAGATTTAGTTACATTTGAGACGTGAGACTAAAAGTGAGTGACTCAGTGTAACCCACAAATGTATGTGCTGAAAATCTACTATACCATGGCCGTTCGCTGTTGCTCTCTCTGCAGTGAGTCAGTAGTTTTATTGGATAATAAAATGACTGTTTAAAGAGGCTTTATTTTTTCTTTAATGAGCAATATGAAAGATCAATATTTGTAGGCATGTTTTCCAATTTTAGGTAATAAGAAATAATCACCTCCCTAAAATCCGATTTAAATTAATCCAGCTACTTTATTACTGTCCAGTATACAGAATGCTTTTACATGTATCTGTTAATGAGAAACACATTTGGACCTTTTTGGAACTTGAATTTTTTTATATACAGTGAACTTTTTAGATCAGTTTTCCTGTTGTTAATATGGAGGACTTTTATTCTAAAGAAGATTCTAAGATGGTTAGTTCTTTCAAGACTGTAAAAAGAAGTAAGAAATTGTATGTGGTTTTATTCAAGTTTTATAACATGTATCTCATTTGCTTAATTTATTTTACTAGAATAAATGAAGTTTTAGCTTTTTTATTGGCACATTAGAAACCAGATAAAATAAATTTACTGCTCAACTTTTAGCCAGACACTGAAGTTGTGAGAAGGTAAAAATTAGCACATGATGAATTTGTAAATATCTTTAGCAAGTTTGAAATGAATATTGTACATTAAAAACATGTAGTGGTCCTCTAAGGTGTTTTAAGACTTTCTTACTTAAGATAAGACATTATGTTTAAATGTATTTTTTGACTGTCTGGCAGAATCTCCCGTAGAAATAATAAGTGAGAAAATATTATTATTCATGCTGCTCTTTCTGGTTGTGTTTTGGGATGTGATAAAAATTCTATTTGACTTAAACCCTGCAACTTAGCTATTTAACAATATTATGCTTGATCAATAAAATAAATAAGTGTGTATGTAAAATGATCGTACTCTCATTATGCATGTGCACATACTTTCTTGAACATCCAGATGAAGTAACCAAGGATACTTAAAAATTTATTACTGACTTAAGTGAAATAAACAAGCACTAATGAAATGAAATTTAAACAATAGCTTTCAGGGTTTTCAGTGCAGTTAACATACCCTCAATCTGTCTGCTTCTGACTTTGAAAGCAACATTATTTTCGCACAATTTTTTATTTCCATAAACATCTTAAAACCAAAGATTGCAAAGGTTCCTTAACTAGAATTAAATTATGTCTGCTTCTGCTGACAAAGGAAGGAATCCCTCAAGAGAGTAGCTCCACCTTTAGCTTATTATGCTTTTTATTCTTGTATATTTAATCTTTTGGGGCCTTTTTTTTTAACCTAAAAGTCTAATTTGAGACTCAAATTCTTCAACACGTACAGCAACATATGTACTGGCAGCTGCTTGTCTCATAATTCCTTAAAAGATACCAATTTAAATCCTAGTAATAGTTTGCTACATCCTGCCCAACTGCACAGAAGGCAAAGCTTACGGCACTCCCCCTAAGAGAATTCTGTTTCAATAAAATGTTCTTCAAGTTAGAATAATTTCTCAAAAAGAATGCTCCAGAGAGTTTGGGATCACAAAAGTGAGAGAAAATGGCTGTGGATTTTAACTGGAAAATAGTAGTGACAACTCTGTGGTTACCTTAGAAGACAAAACATTTAAGATTAACACTAGAGTTATATCAAAAGGTTAAGGTCTTCCACTAACATTTGTTAAATCATATAATGTTTTTAGATATGTCAGGTTTGGGCCAAAAGGATTCTTACATAGTTTCTCAGAATGAAAACTAATTGAAGAACAGTTATTTAGTTTTTCCTAAAAATGTAATTGAAGTTCAAGTTTCTTTCACTGGACTGTAATCCTCAGGCAACAGTCCAGAGTCAACAGGCACAGTTAACTAGGCATAAATTTAAAAAGAAGTTAGATTTGGAAAAACCTCAGACATAACTTCAAATATAGAGTACGTGGTCCAATAAGTTTGATATATTGTTGTTCTCAGGAGTAAAAAATAAATTTTGGGGAAACCTATGTTCATATTAATCATGTGAGTTGATCCCCGAAATGTCAGAGGAATTTTTCTAAAAATTAGATGAGAGGGTATTAAATATAGAAATAACTTCTGATTACCCAGAGTAATTCACAAGGATACATTTCCCCCGGGGATATTATTAGTTTATTACAAAAGAAAGACAGGGAAATCATTTACACAAGGAAAGTTTTCAGAACCTAGTGGAGTGGGCAACATTATATGATACCGTTTTGACAGTGGTTCAGCTTAATCAACATACTTGCTAAGAACATCGCCATCCCTGAACAAGAAATAATTCCGTCTTCTAGAAGTACTCTGGTGTGCCCACGTTCTGGGAGAACTTTATTTCCATCTTTCATGATAACTGGTAGGATCTCTACCTAGACTCTGACCTAAACTTTTCTGGAAGCATAATGCCACTTAGTTATTGTTTGATCTGCACCCTTTTGAAATAGGGTGTTTCAAAATGCCTGTTAAAATGTCTGTTTGAACACAGCTTAGGCAGCCTCTGCCCTCCTTCCCTCCACTCTTGATGTAATTGTCTCCTTAAGGTCTTCATCATTTAGAATATTACTCTTTTATATCATCGTACTTTGTATGAGAAAATTTAAATGATTGCAGAAATCCAATAAGAATTATCATTTGCCTAGACTTTGGCCATTTGTTATAAGAAAAATTCTTAAGTGATTATTTTCTTCCTGATTATGCCTGAAATGAGATTATATTCTGTTGAGTGAACGACCATGCTCAGGGAGGTTTTCTGAGCTCTTCCCTATGAATGTAGAGAGAGATTTTTAAGAAAATTATTAATCAGGCACAGTGGCACAGCATATGCTTGCAATCCCAGATAGTGGGTAGGCTGATACAGTCTGGACAATTCATGGAGATCCTGTCTCCAAACTGGAAAAAAAAGGCGGGGGGAGGGAAATGGGGTGATGGGCATGGATATAGCTCYGTGGTAGAGTGTACCTGGGTTCAAACTCCAGGAACAAAAAAATTAATTTAAAATAATATAACCCCATAATTTATGTAAACCTTTTGAACTTTTAAAATTAGTGTATAGAATTTCAATTTCCATAACAAAATTGTATTGTTAGGCCCTGTCACTGAGTTTTATAGTTTAAAAGAAGCCCAAGTCAACGAAACAGGATGATATGTGCTATGTAGACAGCTAGAGACTAGACATTAAGTATTTGACTCCGGTACTTCCTATCCCATAATGAATTTGAATAACACCTGCAAAGCCTTTGCTTAGTATGGCTATTTTGAAATGTAATGATTTAAAAGAGAGAGAGAGAGAGAGAGAGATAGATTGATTGATTTTGAATGGTAGAATATTATGCATAGAGTCAGAATCTGTGAATATGATTAATTAATTTGGGGGAGATAAAAGAGGCCCCAAAGGCTAATCCCTATCTAGTCTGGGGTTATTTACTTATTATAAGGTATAATATATTATTATTTATTCTTGATTTATTCTTCTCAGAGTTTGGTATTTTAAATTCTTTATCCACATTTCACCTTCAGATCATATAATATTTCACTGTACCTTTTCTGATTATTTGAAGATATTACAAGACTCTTAGCAAAGAGGAATCAAATCCCGACACCTACTTTTTCTGAGTATATGCTAACTTCAAGTCAGGTCAATATTATGTGGATATACTAACCTGAATTATATTTTCCTTGGAGTTTATAGCACAAGTAGGGTGGTAAATCTTCATTCCTAATCGATGATTTGAAGATTAAACTTATTTTGTAAATTGCTCTACAAAACTCCACATGCTACATGTTTTCAGAACCCTTCTTATGTTATGCCTCTGGATTTCAACTTTACAGAGTAGAAAAGGTACCATTTCCCAGCAAAGAAGAATAAACATAGGATTGGTGGGATGGATGGGCAAATGCTGCCATCTTCTGGCCATAGGCTAATCACAAGGAATAATGGACAYCTTTGTGTCACATGGTGACAAGTGTCATGTGAAAACAAGTAACATCTCTCATGTTTTTAACAGGAATGTGATCAAGTTCATATAGATGATGTTTCCTCTGATGATAATGGACAAGACTTAAGGTAAGCCGTGCCTTTCAGTATGCTGTTTCCTACAGAAATTCGGCTATGGAGTTTTGCACATGTAATTATTTCTTTTATTTCTTTTTAATGTATTTTGGGTGTTGCAGTACCTACAGTTTTGCAACTGATGGCTTCCATGCAGCTGCAAGTAGTGCAAACCTTTGTTTGCCAACAGGTGTAAGAGGAGGAGTGGACTGGATGAGGAAGTTGGCTTTTCGTTACAGAAGAGTGAAAGAATTATATAACACCTACAAGAACAATGTTGGAGGTATGTGTGTCTTTTTTCATCTAATAAGGGCACCATGGGAATAGGTAGATTCAGCCGCAGTCTATGGTAGAGACGGTGATACTGTAAAATAAAGCTGCAGAAGTTCATGTTGAATAACTTTCATCCTGAATTTTTAGTTTCTTAGAATTGTTGGGGAAATTTTAACTACAGAATAAAACTCCTCTGTCAAAGAATTGGGCATTCTTTGTGAAACTGTGTACTCAGTTGTTAGGACAAGATTTGCAGCAGGGTATTTAAGTTAGAACAAATATAAAGAGTCGTATCATTTAAAAAATATTCAACAAGTCTATTTTTTCCTTTCGAAAAAATCACATTATCTGATAGTATCTCTTTCCCACATACAGTATAGTGTTAACTTAGATTATCATGATTTTTTAAAGTTTAAATATTCTGTAGTTAATATCTAAACCATATTATATTCATATTCATCCATATGTCTTTTTTTTTTTTTTTTTTTTTGGTGGTGCTGAGGATTGAACCCAGGGCCTTGTGCAAGCAAAGCAAGCACTCTACCAACTAAGCTATATCCCCAATCCCCTCATCCTTATGTCTTGGAGTGATATCAAAACTAAGATCCACAAATGTTTCTGTATGTAATAAACCTGTGTGTTCTGTAWTATTGAGATTAATTTTAAGTCAACAAGATTCTTAGTATTAGTTATGAGATCATGTAAAATTCTTCTCACAGGGTATTTGTTTCTCTTTTCTTATAAAAGAAATGATATTTGAAGATCATAATCCAAAATTCGAAAGGGAATGATGCAACTAAATATATGCATGCATACTACACCTGTGTATATTCATATGTGTCATAGAATACAGTGTAGTAAATGAAATTCCGTGTATAATATGCATCTCACATCTATGCATACACATCCTGAGGGTGGGSCTGTGTTTTGTTTCACCTTGTATCTGTCCAGTACTAAAGCTCATTATAGATGCTCAGTGAGTACTCAGAACTATAGGAGAACAAAAAATGTAGAACCATGGATAATTTTAATGTTAGAACCAGTGGAGACCTTCATTTTCAAATAGGAAATTGGACCCTGAAGACTCTGCAGAGCCCTACCTGGCCCAGAGTTCTAGGTTGTAATTCCTGTTTCCCAATTCACTCCAATGCTCTTCACAAGATTGTGTGTGTGTATTGAGCCCAGGGGCACTGGAAGCTGGCTTTGAACTCATGATCCTCCTGCCTCAGCCTCCCAAGCTGCTGGGATTACAGGTGTTTGCCACTGTGTCCAGGTCACAAGACACTTTTGTAAAGTCAAATAAATGGAATTTCCAGTAAAAATCAATTGTAGGTAATATGCTTATTTTTAAAGAAAATATACCATTCTCCTTCCTCTACTAGACTTCCTTTCGCTAGTCTATTTATTTATATTTGATTGGTTCTTTTTACCTATGCATAAAGATGAAGTTCTGGAGGGGGACAATAGAAGGGGAAAGGGAGAGGATCTGAAATTGAATTCTATACATGTGTTAGTTTTCTGGAATGAACCCAATTATTATATAAAACTATGAAGCTCTAATAAAAAAATAAGTTACTAAAACTTAAAAACTTTTTAAAAATTATAAATAAAAGGAAATAAAAAATAAAGAAAATAAGGAAAGAATGACATACCTGAATGATAACTATTTTCTGACTTCTTAAGGGAATTCAAATAATATCCCTTTCAGAGTATTATTAGAATTATTTTAAAATCAACAAGACTGCAAAGAAATAATCTTTTGTCTTAGAAAGTTTAAGCAGCCACATAAAAGTCCATTTTCTGTCATACATCAGTATTTCTTTATTACAATGAGGACAAGTGAGACTTGCTTGAAAGTTAAATTTTACTTTAAAAATCATCCACCTGTATTTGAGCTCCCAGGATTCTGAAATACAATTTAAATCAGAAACCTCCCTTTTGTCTGGATTTTATATAATTTTGTTTTATCATGAAACAAAGGCTGCATCTTTTGAAAATAAAAATTAGCATGCCTACTTCTTTTCATAACATTAATGTAATTTTCCATCATTATCTAAAGTGCCATATGTTTCAGGATTGCAAACACAGGTTTTAATTAAAATTTATATATATATATATAAAATAGTGCTAGCACTAGCACTACTTTTAGAAAAATTCTAGTTGCTATGTATGATAATGCCACTATTTCTATTTCACAGTGGAAATGATTGTGATTATTGAGAAGCTAAACCTCTTTAGGCAACCATAATATTTGAGGTTTGTCACCCAAGGCTGTTGGAGCCCACCACTCCTCCAGACCCAATGGATTCCACCCTCTTGGAGTGGGACCCATGCCTGAGGGCTGCAAAGATCTTCTGGTGGCAGATGCCCAGACTTGGCAGAAACTGGGGGCCACTTTTGCACTGTTCTGTCCCCATTGTTTAGTTTAGTTCCTGACTCCTAGATGTTGTCTAGTAGATATTCATTGAATGAATGAGTGAGTGAATAATCAGTTCTGAAATGAAGATCAATATTGATATGTCTGTCTTTCCATTTTGATATAAATTGAAATAAAAATTATCAATGCCAGAGAGAAGGGACACCAAACTTATATTCTTGTGGATATATTCAGCTCCTGACTCTGTCTTGCTTTTTTGATGTTGCAGGACTCCTTGGCCCTGCCAAGAGGGATGCGTGGCTGCAGTTAAGGGCAGAAATTGAAGGCCTGACAGATTCCTGGCTAACAAATGCACTAAAGTCTTTATCAATTATTAGTACTAGGTAAGTGGGATCAATGCCCTTTCTATTTTAATTATATGGGAAACTGAGGTCTAATAGCACAACATAGATTTAAAAAAATTTAATTTTTAGGCTAATTTGGAGTTCAGAGGAATTAGTTCACTGAAGCCAGTGATTTCTGCGTGTGTGTGTGTGTGTGTGTGTGTGTGTGTGTGTGTGTTGGCATTGAGGGACAGCCGCTTTTTCTTCTCAGAATAACCAGGAGATTACATCTTTCCTTTTGTCTCCTCAGAACCACTGATAACCATATAGAAAGGTCACATGATTTATAATAAACATGAGAGCACTCTTTTGGTGACAGAGTACAAGGGATAATGGCAAAAACAAGACAGTACTGTTTATTTAAAAAAAAAAAAAAAAAAAAAAAGCTTGTGTTAGGACTTTTAGACCATAATAGATAACATACATAACTTCAGTACACTAGAAAAAGCCAGAGAAAGCTCTTGAAAAAATTCTAATCTCTGTGTTGTTTGAACTTACCAGTGACATACTGACTTGTTAAGTAGATAATAAATTTAAATAGTTTTGTAAGTTGTTGAAGAGCTATTTGCCATAAATGTTAATTTGTAAGGTAATATGAACCTGGAAAGTGATCGTTGGTGGGTGGGATTAATCTTTGTACTTTCCTATTCTATAGTTTTAATTCCAACTTTAATGAATAGGTAAAAAAAAAAAAAGCAAGCTTAGCAAACATGTGGGTAACACAACATATACAGAAAGAGATATTATTTGGACTGATTGAAGATACATAAAAATCTTGGTAGAGTAAAATGAGAATCCGGTATTGAGAACTTGAAAGTAAATGGGTATGTGTCAAGCCTGGCACGTGGCTTCTGACCCTATGAAATGATCAAGAACTGCACTGTGAACAGAAAGTCTAAATGGTGGTGTCAGTTGGAGGTAGCAGGGAGCAGAGCAGCAGGAAACACATAAAGACAACCCTTGGAGCAGCCAGAGAGCTCGTGGGAAGAACAGTCACGTTATGGAACACAGCGGTCTATTTCAACAGTTCAAGGTGTTAGGTGGAACATCAATCAGACTATTCTCTGTGTCTATAAAGAGTTGGAGTGAGTGGGATCCTARGACAGGACAGTGTAATACAATGTAAGGAAGAAGTGTCAAACAACTGAAGCTGCTTAAAAATGGGACTTGCTGCCTGTTACTTTCTGTAACTGGTGACAAGAGGACCAAAACTCAGTGCGGCAGGGACATGAGGCTCCTGAACCTGTGAAACTGCCATGGGTAGTGGAATGTGCATTTCTCTGAGGAGGAGGTTAAAAGCTTTTATTATTTCTAAAAGATGTCTTCTAGAGAGTAAAAAACAGATTGTTTCATTATCGTATAGGTATATATATATACATATATATACATATATATATGTATATATATATACACACACATATACATATATGTATGTATATAGTTTGTATAATATATTCATATGTTATTTTTAAAAATACAGGCATAAAAAAGAAGGGATGGAGAAGAAATCAATACATGTTGAATAGTCAAATACTATGAAATTTTCTAAGCTATCTACATATATTATATTATTGTAGTCTTCACAAAATGTCAGGAATATCAGGAAAAAAAACATGTGCTTTTTTTTAATTTACCCTCTGACCCTTATTCTTCTATGACTATCAACTGGAAGAAATAATACAAGGTGTAGAAGAAAGTTAATAAGCATTATTTATAACATTGAAAAATTGAAAGCCATGTTAAACATCAAAACTGGACTTCAAAAATATATGGTAAAAAATTGTTTTAAAGTTAAAAAAATGAAAAAAAAATATATAGTACACCCACCTATTTTGTTTTGTTGGAAAAATGGGGGGTACGGAATAAGTTGATAGGCTTAGGAAAGAAAGGAAGGAAAGAAAGTAACAATTTGCATATATAGTATGATCTGAATGAGAAAATATATATACAAACAGAAACAATGAAAATAAATTCAAAAAACAGAGAAARTGGTTATCGATGGTGACTAATTAATAATCAAAGCTTTACTTTTCATATTCTTCCTTATATTTGTCTTTTTTTTTTTTACAAATTCTGTCTTATAAACACATACACAAACTCATACAGTGTTTGTAGTTAAAAACAAGGTGATATAACTCCAAATATTCCATAGATAAATAGATACTTCATTTCAAAACTGTATCTATAAAGTTGAAAATCCTTAGTTTTGTTTTATCTCACCTTGATTTTATTCTGTAGCATTTATCTACATATGACCTTGAATAGCATCTTTTTTCTAACAAAATATTATATAGAACTTAAGTGTCAYAGTTTAGTGATGATTGTGCACGATTTTTAATAGTCTGTCATTATTTGGGGATTGTCTGGTAATAGGCAAGGACYGTTGACTATCAAAAGGGACCATTTACTATAGAATTTAGAGACCACAATAACGATTTTAAATCTGTGCTATTAGAAGTTATTTAGTGTTAGAAAACAGATACATATACAAATATTTCCTCCTTATTTCAGGAGTAATTGTGTAAATGTCTTGGTAACGACGACCCAGCTGATCCCAGCACTTGCAAAGGTCCTGCTCTATAGCTTAGGAGGTGCTTTCCCCATTGAGAATATTTACAGTGCAACTAAAATAGGTAAGGAAATTCTTTAAAATTCTATATGGAATGTGCTCACATCTGTGCTTGGGGGGTGGTTCTTAATGAATATCTCTGCATGGTTTCCTTTCCATCAATTTTAATTTTAGAACATCAAGCAAAATGGACAAAGTTCTCATAACAAGATACCCTGCATACAACTCATTACACACGTGTAAATTTTATGAGCATTTTTGGTTGGTGAATTCAGGATCTCAGTAGTTCTGATTCATTCCATATATTTCATAGAGTATTCCAGAACATGCTATCTAAATAATATATAATCTTGCCATCCATAATATTTAATTGTCAAATTGGTATGGAATACACTATTRCCTCCTTGCATGTGCAGGAATCTAGATCTAAAATAAAAAAGCGATTTTGTCATTACAGGACAGTCTCACATAGATTCAACTAGGATCCAAAATAAAAAATCCAGAAAGAAATGAAGATTTCATGAATCAGAAAACATAATTGGAATATTGTTAATACATCATTGGCCAGAATCCACATTTCCAAAATTGCGTAGTAGCAGCCAAAGGACTACAACTTGTTWATTTAGTTTATATCTGTAGGTAGAGCCATCTTTGACTTCAAGGGTATTCTGCAGAGTCAGACTTCTAATGTATGTTCAAAACTTCATCAAGTCCATCTTACAAGAGTTAAAACAGCACATGTATTCCACTGTCTGTCAAGGAAATGCCTGGGAAAATAAATAGGTTGTGTAATGTGCCCTGAAGGTCAACAGACTTGGGCTTTGGCACCTTGACAAGAGAAGTTTAAAATCCTAAAATCCCCCACCAAAAATAGCTTTCCCTGGGCCTTTCGGAGGGCTGATATTGGCGCTGGCACAAGGAGCCCCCAGTTGCAGCTGTTTCCGGAGGACAGTTCAAGTGAGCCAAGCTTTCAGAAAGCAAATGCTACATTGTCATAGCACTACAATTCAGAGTCCAGGTCCCAACCCCATGCATTCTTTTCATATAAATGTATGTATGTATGCTAGCAAGATTCATATAGAGAATATGATTTTGCTTTTTGACAACTTAAATAATTTTATACCAGAGTATACATTTTAGTTAAGGACCAGATTCCTTATTATTGGCTAAGTTATTCCTTATATTTAGTCTAAAAAATCATTTTAGTTTTTCCCGTGAAGCTAGTAGTTTTTGGAGTTCTGCACTATCAGATTAAGAAAAAAGGTGAAGATAGCCATGGCCATATGGACATTCTAGGAATAAAATTCAGAGAATAATGCCAGTATCATAAAAGTAAAGAACATGCAGGGATTCCATGATGTATTTTTGTAAGTATAATCAGAGGATGCTAGTGTCATCAGGCTGTGGCCCAGTTGGACAGCATCCTTAGTATAATTAATGAACATATTAGATCCTACTCACTTGAAAAAAGGAGAGGTGTATCAGAGTAAATCCACATCTTAGTATTGAATCTTCAAAGTGAAACTTGTTTCCCATAATAATATATTCAGTTGACTGTCTATGCTTACTTGAAATGATTAGACAATGTTTATGGAATTAAAGTTGTTTCAATACACTTTCAGTGGAATAAAACATACTAACAATTTCTCTAGGTCAAACACTTAACCCTACTGGCTTACTTGAACCATAAAATGTGTTTGTTTAGTAATCTCTCCTAAGAGTTATGTTATTCACACACGTGTGTTAATTTCATCAACCCAGAGGTTGTAAGCTAGCTCATGTCATGTCAAAGAGATATTAACTCAATACTTTATGCATCTTTAGGTTACTGAATGCAATGGCTGGAAGAATAAACAGTGCATTGTTTTTCAGGCAAGGAAAGCTGTTTTGAGCGTATAGTGTCCAGATTTGGCACTAACATAACTTATGTTGTGATTGGAGATGGCCGAGATGAGGAACATGCCGCTAACCAGGTAACTTCACTCTGAACTTTATCTTATTTATCTTCCAGGAAAAGAAAGTTGCTTTGAACGAATAATGCAAAGGTTTGGCAGAAAAGTAGTATATGTTGTAATTGGGGATGGTGTAGAAGAAGAACAGGCAGCAAAAAAGGTAACCTGTCTCAAACAATGTTGGTGTGGTACTTCTAATGCAAGCCTTTTTGTTTGCATTCCTGTAGTTTGGCCYAGTGGCAGCTTGACAATTGATTTAAATATACAGATGCAAGCGATAAGAGCATGAGAGAGTCAATACTTACTTTCAAAAAAACCCATTTGGAGTCTAGCATTTTTTGCCTGAAATTTGATAGGAAATGTAGGAAAATTTATATTTGTTTGTGTGGCTATAAATTAATGTATAATAATTACAGATTTGTGTGTGCATATATGTATATATATGGTACACAAACACATACCATGCACACAGAAACATATGACCCCATAGTTCTTAAGGAAGATGGGGGGAAAACTGTTTTTAAGCTCATGAAACTCAACAAGATAAATAAGTTTAATCAGCTCATAGAAAAATGATTAGAGTGCTTTGTGCCATAGAGTCCTTGAGATCACCTAGAAAAAAGTGTTGCCCCATGATGATAAATGCTGGGGTTAGATTTAATAGCAGAAGAAAAAAATGGTTGTAAGAGACTTTAATAAGCTCTATTGGAAACGGCATGTGTTACTCTGTTCTTTTGTGCCAACTTGTCTCACATCTTCCAGAATATACTCATCCATTTGGATGAGCCATTGGTACCTGATTGAAGCCAAGCAGCTGGCTTTGTACATATTCAGAAGATCTCATAGGCCCTGATTATTTAATTTAGCTATTTATCTGCCCATATTTCTGAAGAGGAAAATGACGACAATTAAAAAAACATTAGGTGGCTGGTTGGACATCAAAAGGGGAATGATACCAGGATTGCCCCCCTCCCATTCTATCAGTCAGTATAACACTGAGGTCTATTGCTTCCTTCACTGAATGATAGCAAAACATTATCTAGCCAAGATAAAAGTGATAGAATTTACAGAAAACACAAAATAATTTGTATTTTAAGCAGCAACATATCATCTTTTAATGTTTGTTTTACATAGAAAAATCTTATTATCCTGAGGTGATTTAAAATGTCATCTAATAAATCCTTATTAGATGGAAGGTTTACCTGAGTTCTGTTTCCTAATTTTTTTTTTCCAAAAAGACAGCATAAACAGTTTTACATAAGAGTTTATGGCTATAGCAGAAAGGGAGAGGAAATGATCTATGTTGCTGGTCAGTTCAAGTCAAGGAACATGGAGAAAGAGAAAGCACTTCCACTTGATTTGAAAAGTTTGGGGACAGTGTTGGCAGCCATACTTGAAATCCCCCATGCTTTTCTGTCCCAGGAAGGGAGCTGGTCCTGTAGAGCACCTAGGTTTAAATTAGCAATGTCAGTGACCCAAGTCAGCACACAAGCTCCAGGGACATTCTGCACGAGGTCAGGGTTGCAGCCTTAAGTAACACAGCCTACGTTGTTGAATACTACTTGAAATGCTCCCAGTCACACACGATTCAAATGTCTCCTGGAGTTTGTCCTTGTCCTGAGTTAACGTTGTTTTGATTTTTCATATTGGCACCATAATTAAGCACAACAAAAAGCAGGCAGTGGTTGGACCACCCCAGCAAATGTGTACATGATTTTTAGCCTGTGTGAAATCCACGTCTGTCTAGGTCAGAACTAATAAAATTCATTTTTTTTCCAAACTTAAAACAGGATAAGTCTTTGAAAGTTAAAACTTATCAAGTCACCTTTGGTGATGCCTGGTAAGAAGGCTAGTCTTGGTAAATCATTTCTATACCTTCTGGTTTATACCTGAAATTTCAGGAGAAAAAGTGTGACTCCAAATGGATAAGAATATCCAATAGAATGCTGTTTCGAATGGTTGTTTATGTAGGTGCAGTTTTGGTGATGGTGAAGGCTTAAAAYTCTACTTTGGAACACAGGTGGTTGGTTTCTCTGGTACCCAAAATGCATGCTTTTCTTTGGATGTAGCAGTAATCGCATGTGCAGAAATATTAAATACTGTTTTGTTATTACAAATAGATCTGAGCTGAATTTTAAAAAATGTTACTTCCAGGTGAATTTCTGTGCTCTGATTTGACATAAAACATACWTTGAGAAATTTAAGAAGAAATCTCAAAGTGCAGGAATGTACTTGCACTCTCCTATACAAGTATATAATGTGAGAAATAAATGTAATTTACAAATTTTCTAGAAACCTTGTTAAATACAAGTAAAAAGAGACAGCTAGAGTTAATTTTAATAATACATTTTAATTAACCCAACATATGCCAAACATTATCATAAATACCCAATCTATATAAAAATCACTGATTGATGTGGTATTCTTTCTTCTTTTCCTTATTCTAAGTTTTTGTGATTTAGTATGCATTTTAAACTGGACTAACCAAGTGCTTAATAGCCACATGTGGTTAGTGGCCAAAATATGGAGCAGAAAAGAATTTAATATAGCAGTAATAAGTATTATGATGCTTAATTTATTTATAAAATACCTTTTCCATATATATGTATATATGTGTTTCCATTGTGTACATGAATATATTCCTTACATCTATATTCTGGATGTGTCCTCAGCCCAAATTTACATTATAATACTTTCGTTTTGTCAGTTGCTGAAGTGCACTTTCTCTTTTTTTAAACATGGAAAGGAATTCACTGTTTTTCTCTCAAATACACAAAAGGGCTTAGGAAGTTTGTAGTTATCTTAGTTTTTTAGCTGAGAGATGGACCTTTAGGAGTGAGGTCCCTATCAGAGCTTGCTTTCCGTCAGCCAAGTAGAAGTTTGATGCTTGTTTTTCCAGATGCCGAGGTTGGTAATGCTACTTTGCAAATATTAAACTATGTAAAATTTCAATATTTTCTTCTTTTATCATTAAAATTCAGCTTTTATCATTAAAATTCAGTGGTAGAGCACTTGCCTTGCATGCATGAGGCCCTGGGTTAGATCCTCAGCACCACATAAAAATAAACAAATAAAAATAAAGATATTTTGTCCATCTACAACTAAAAAAAAAAAAAAWTTTTTAAATCCAGTTCAGATCTATTTCTCTRTTACTTTGACAATGCCACCTTGGTTCTGCCAAACCTTCAAATATGATCATCCCTCCATTAAACTCCCTGCCTTAAACCTGGGTGGACTGCACATCCTTGTGTGCAGCTGCTTCCTTGAAACAATGGCTATGATCTCTCTGTTCTTCACTCCTGCCWCTCTCTCTCTCCCATCCCTCCTTCTCTTGCCCACACAGCACAACATGCCCTTCTGGAGGATATCAAGTCACTCGGACCTCTTGGCTCTACATCAAGCACTGGAATTAGAATATTTGTAACTGTGTTCTCTAGCTGGAGATCCGTTTTGTTTTTTTGTTTTGTTTTGTCTTTTTGTTGTTGTTGTTGTTGTTGTTGTTGTTGTTGTTTTTTTTTTTACATTTCAAGTACACTGAATTTTTATGTGTGTGATTCAATGCCTCTGGCTCTACACATATAAATTGTCTTAAAGGATGAAATCGTATTTGGAATGGAAATTCCGGAATGAAGAATTCAGATTGCTGAATGGAATTAAACTTTAGTGCTACAGAAAGGAAACTCTATGGTCTTACATCTACAACACTTTAATGGTTTCTAAAACAAATCTGTGGAGATTGCTATGCACAGAGAAAGAGTCCTAACTGGAATTCACAGCTTTAGCAAAGACCCCTCACCCTCCTGGGCAGTAACACCTATGCTCCGTCTGACAAGGTGGTCACCAACATTCCTCAAAATGGGATCTCTTCTCAGCCCTGAGGTTTGAATCTGACTTTAGCCTACCTAGCCCAGAAAATCTGAATTGGAATGCACTCAAGACTGTATAAGGACAGTCCTATCTAGACCTGTAATTTGTGTAAATTACTGATGAAAATAATTTACTGTGACTTTATTAGCCGCTGACTTTGAAAGTGGATGCAATTTTTCTTTCATTTGTCGGGGAGGGTCGAGGGAGGGAAACGGGAATATAATATTATCTTTTTTTTTTTTTTTTTTTAAGTTTGGCAAACAGAATGTTCATACTGATGTGTTGTGCCTTAAAGACAAGACAGCGTTTGTGTGTTACAATGTAACTTTGGTTAAAAATCTCTGTAGATAATGAAAACCAAAAAACAAAAACCAAAAAAAACAAAAAAACAAAAACAAAAACAAAAAAAAAAACCACTTTGTGATAATTCTTCACATGACCAAATTTAAAATTCAAGCTATCAATGTTTTAACACTACATCAACAAGAAACCAAGTATATGTGGCAATAAGAAACCAACAAGAATAATAAGAGAAAGCTTGTGTTTTATTTGGGTTCTTAATAATTCCAGTGATTGTATGAGGCAACTATTTGTACACCCAATCATTAGCAGGTTTGAGAAAGACTGTGGGACATTTACTTAGAAAGAAACATGTTTGTTGAATTCTCAGTACCCTTTCTACAGTTCTATCCAAGAAATCTAAGAGCCATATTCGTGACAATTTGCACAGTTTTGAACTTGAGACTTTTTGATGTGTGTAAGTTGCTTACAAGGAAGATGTTGTCATGCATATCTTTAGGAATTATCTCCTTACCCTYTTTAGTATATGCCAAGGACATAGGTTAAAATTTAAGTTGAGTGAACATGGCTTAAAATATAGCTAAGTTTGTTAATTCTCAATGCCATTGCAAAAATGAAATGTCATTAGTAAGGGAAGGCAGGTGACCCAGATGGCCCAAGGAAAGAAGTGAGTCTATGAATATTTTACCTAGAATATCATCATAAATTAGATTAGCAAGTGAGCCAGACCTTGACAGCATTAGCAAATTACAACAGGAAAATGCACTGGTATTTCACTGAACCCATCAACTGAGTCTCTCTCCATTGCAGACTTGCGCATGTTGGTTTTCGCCTGTACTGTTACTGAACAATGGGTTGCATTTATTGCAGGGAGAACCTGTCATCGTTGTGTTTGCATGGTTTTGGGTGTTTTTTTTTCTTCTTCTTCTTGGTGTGTAGCCCGTGTTGGGAACACGATACAGGTTCTCCTATCATTTTCTGTGACATGATTTCCCTTGTGGAAATTTAAGACTTGGAGGTCTCAAGTATTCTAATGGTGTCTGCACCTGCAGTGTAATATGGATTGTGGAATCCAGCTGTTCATCAGTGCTCCTAACCAGAGGCTGGTTCATGACAGTTCATCAACTRAGGCTTCTGTAGATCAAGTTAAGGTCAACGCTTTGCTCACAGATCACAACATTCATTATGGAAGTAGTTTATATCTCCAGGTAGTCAGCCTGCATTTCTTTAGTGAATGTGAAGGCCACATTTACGATGGGCAGAAAGATCATCAGATCCCAATTGTGCATAAGATTGTGATTTCATAAAACTTATTCTTAAATTTTGTGGGTTTTGGCTACTTCTGCCCCCAAGTACCATGGCAGGCGAAATATGGTTGAAAGACTTTTAATAATAAATAAAGATAAATCTTCTGCTTTGGCTTGAAAATAGCAGTTTAAAAATGGAAGAGTTGCGTTGATTCTCAGTATTTATTTTGCACACTAAAGCCTTAAATATTCATTACTGTGGATAAAACAAAATTATTTTTACTGTATAGCCCATTTCTTTAAATAATACAACTGTGGCATTATATCAAAAATTTAATTCTGCTCCATAACAAACAAACAAGGCTTCTTATGYTGCTAAACCTGCAGGTGCAGAAAGAAACCTCTGGAAGGGGCATGGCCTCTGAAGTGCTATTTCTCACACACATCTTTTTTTCCGATGATGTATTCAGAAGAGGCTGCCACCATGACACCTAAATGCAGGATTAACGGAGAACAGTTTTTCCAGCACAACAGTGGTGCAGGTCAACAAGCCATCCTCAAGGGCAGCCTGTGATTTGGGGCATGCTCAAACTAGAACTCTCCTGCCCCACCTTAGGGAGAGAAAATCTGCTTTCTTTCTGGTCAGGAAAAAAAAAAAAAGAAAGAAAGAAACATAAAATAAATCAACCAACCAACAAACAAATTAGCCATTTGGTAGTCCCCATGTTCTATTTCCATGTAGAATGGTGTGCCTTATTGTAAGTCAGTTTGGGTTTTTGTCTACTCCATATACAAACTTTGATATCTTACTAGGAAAGATAACTACCTTGTGTTGAATGAGAAAACCATCAAGACCATGTAATTTCAATAACAATATAGGTAGCCTGGCTGTAATATTGTGATTAAGACTCTCTACTCCCTAAAAAAAAATTATAGATCAAATTCAGAGGCAAAAATAACATCTTAGAATCATACAGTTTATGCACAAAATATAGATAACTGTCTCTAATTTTTTTTCCTTCATCTCTGGTGAGCTGAGATTAAAAATAGTGTCAGTCGCATGTTCCACTATGAAGTTGTCTTCGTACAGCACATTTATGACGAGCCTATATTCTCAGTGAATATGGCATTTAGTATTTCTTTTCAAACCAAACTTAAGCATCATGAGCCAAAGTTGCATTTTGACTCCCCACTATGGTAGCATTATGGAAATCTCACAGTCRAAGTCAAGGGTTTCTGTTATGTATTAGTAAAGTATAGATTATTGGGGCCTACATAATTTAAAGAAATGTAAATTAATATTAAAAGCTTGTAAAAATATGTACATCTTTACTATTTCTCAATAAATACCCTTTGCAACTGTTTTCATTTTCTTCACCCTCCCATTTTGTAGAGTTTTTATGTGTGTATTTACTTTAATCTTAAGTCATGTGAAGTTTGGGTTTAGGTCTCTTGATGTAGCCTTTCCTTTTGTGCCTAAGTTGCAAAATTTGCAGTTAAGTTAAACTGAGATCAACAGTCTAGAATGTCACAAACTGGTACTTCAAAGGGGATGGTTTACTAAGGTAGATATGGGTTGCAGAATGTTTTACATTCATTCAAGTAGAAGGTACACAAACCATTAACAGTAGAGAAAAGCTTATTAAAATATTGAGAGCAAGTTCCCTTTAGATGAACAGAATTGTACCTATGATAAGCTCTAGGTCACAGTTTATAAGTATCTTCTAAGAAGATAAGAGTATTTTTTTCTGAACTGGATTTAGCAGCTCCTTCATTATCTTGTGTATTGACATTTTGCATATCTGTTGTTCACATGCAAATCAAAGGCAAATTTTGGACCAAATTCTGCTCATTCATAACTTTTTCAAAAGCCTCCAAGTTAACAATACTGAAGTGGAGTATTGTGTGGGAATACTCCAGAGAGTTTTATGTCATTGCAAAATCAACCATGGCCTATGGGAATACAACAAATATATTTAAAAATAAACTGAGTTTGTAGACTACCTTTCTATTCTTTTATATCTAGTTACTTTTGAATGTTGAATTTTGTCAGAACGATAAAACTCTRTGTATCGTCCCCCAATGCTCCTCTGAACTCCAAACAATTATCACCCTTTGCCTATTCACGATACCTGCTTGGATGAAAAGGCTGTCAATCAACATGTGCAACATGGAGYCTCTGCTTCTGCCCCAGGTACTTCTTACCTCTCACAGGACTACCACCCAGGCCACAATTGTCATCAGTTTCTCACCTGGATGACACATCAACCTCTAACTGCATCTCTTGCCCTTATACCTCTTCAGTATACTTCATCACAGTAGCTGGCAGGATACTGAGAATCAGAGCATGTTCTTTTCCCAGAAATCTCTAGCAGCTGGATTTCTCTTCCSAGAAATCTCTAGCACTATTGTCCTTAACAATGGCCTCTAAGGCATGTGAGAATGAATCAGGGATCATAAGCTATCCACCGTCTCATCTTCTACCATCTTGTGTTTCATTCCTCACTGCTAAACTTAGGCACCTTCATATTCTTGACACATACCTGCACCCACCCACCACAGAGMCTTTGAACTCACTGTCATTTTCTGTTTGAGAAGAATTTCACCYAGACATCTGCAGTCCTTGTGTCCTGTATTTCCTTCAGGTCTTTACTCAAAGACCACCTTCTGATTGACTATGTCCCCTGCTCTAAAATTGCATGTGATTCCCTGGTACTGACCATTTCTCCACCTTATCATTAAATAGTACTTAATCCTTAGGTTTATCCAATATGATAGTTATATTATAACTAACCCATTACTATATATGCCCTGTGAAGACATTGAAAAAATCTGTTTTATTTCTGGATAACCATAATTGGTAAAAGTGTTGAGTGAATGCCTAAATCATAAGAAAACATTTGCATGATCATAGTTTAGAATTGAAGGAACTTGTAATTTGAASCTTGATTTGAAGGGGAAAAAGGAGAAAACATCCAGGTAAGTTTGGATGAAACTAAAGTTTTTACAACTTTCCAGAGTGTTTACTAGAATAATAATTTATAAAGAGCAAGGATAGACATAAGCAAAGATGTACTTGGAAAGAGGTCAAACAAGACCTGGGAATTCTCTAGATAAAAAGAAGCCTATAATGATTTGGCGATTGCTTCCTTGCCTCTCTTTTGTTAATTAAAAAGAAAAAAAATGCAACAATGTGTTTCAGTTGACTTAAGTTATTCAAAGCCACAAATAAGCCAAGTAAAATCAAATTTCTCTGCAGTCTCTTTGGTTTATGATTCTAAATCTCTGAAACAAAAAAGAAAGAAAAGTGAATGATTCCTTTAGTTAACAAAACATAACTAATATTTAATATCTGTGTATTTTTATATTTAAAAAATAAATTATTAGATTTGGTGTTATGAAAGTACATTTGTTGTTACAGACAGGCCACTACTCAAAACCATCTTAAATTTGAACTGACCAGCCACTACTCAAAACCATCTTAAATTTGAACTGACCAATGTTAATTCTTGGGATGTTAATGAAGATGTTCTGTCTCTCAGAACCATAAAGAAGAGTGTTCACTGTACCCAACTCCTGACTTTGAAAATAGTAACCATTATCATTTGAATTTTTCCTTCATCCAGAGACTCTCTTCYAGGATCTGAAAAATATTCAAACATAATATGTTCAAGAATCTCTAAYAAATCAGATAATACTATAGAAGCCAGATGAGTAGTCTCCCTATTAATGAGATATTTTTTGGTTGTTTGCAGAGCAGTGTCTCCATGGCTACAGGGTGCTGGATGGTCTTTTGTTGTCATGGTATCTTAGATTCTGGTGCCTGGCAACTGC